GTTCAGCAGCATTACTTTTCTCAGATTACCACCTCCCTGACCTGCACTGACATAATTGCACTGCAAGCACCAGGCAGATTGAGCAAGGCTTTGGAGGTACTGGATTTAGTTGTAATTTTATTTCCTTTGGCTGAACAGGTACACTTCACCTGTTCCTGCAATGGATTCTTGCAAGTATAGCAATAGTAGTGAAAGTCCATTGGCTATTCAGTAGCTACAAAGGAAAATTTTAACTGCCATTATGTCAAACTGTGCATCCAATAAACAATTGCTGCAAGCACAATTACACATTATTCTTCAATTCTGAAGGCATATCTGATAAGCTTTTCTTTAAAGTTTAGGAAGTGCTTTAGTCCCAGTCAGCTTATTAAAATATAAATGTGTACTTTAGACATTCTGTGGATTGGTATAAAACATGAAAAAAGTCACTGTGTAAAAACAGGAGTGTGTAAAAGATGCTGCTCTCAGATAAAAAGATTCCTTCACTAAAATTGAAAAGTTTCATTGGCACATACACTGTGCCTAAACTATAAAACCTGACTTTTTATCCTCCTGTTTTGCTTCTTATTCTTTTGTCTGATCTGCTTCTATTTGGCTAGCAGTTCCGGAGCCAATTTGCTGACCTTCTGTAGATCCTTTTCTCATTCAAATAATTTCCTAGAACATGTTGTTCTGAGCCTTAAGGATTTCAAGGCATACAGTGAGGGAGAAGTGTTGAATATAATAGCCAGTTAACAAGAAAAATAATAGCCAGTTAACAAGAAAAATAAAGTGATGGAGATCACTTTTATCACTTTTTATCACAGCTCTGTTTGTGTTGAAACATTAATGAAAAGATTAAACTTGCCTATTAACTTCACCATTTGCATTTGAACCACTAAAGAGTAGTTGCCATGCAAGTGTCAGAAAACCCACAGATGAATAAAATGGATCATTACTGGTGTAATTAACAGAAGGACAATGATCATCAGAGGTACCGAGGACCTGCAGTTTTCATCAGCTGCTGAAGGGGTTAGATGGCAAGATTTGTAGGGAGAGGTAGCATCTCCTATTGGGCTGGCTAGTGATGCATGCCATTCCTGTGGAGAAAGGCTTGTTTGTGTAAAGGTTTGTTCATTTTATACACTCGGTAAACATGCTATTTCTCACTGTAAACCCTGCCTTCCTTAGACCACGATGGCTACAACACCATTACAACTACAAGACAGTTTTGGGCACTTGGTGCTGCAGAAAATCAGATCCAGACAGTGCATATGACATGAATGGCTACTTCATAAATCCAGCTGAATCTGAGCTATCCCACTACAGCGACCAAACTTTGTACTGGTGCTTCATTAGAAGACATTGCTTAAATTCCTAAAAGGATTAGATAACGATCAGATATATTTGTCCCTACATTTTTGGACCAAATGTTTATGAAAAGCCTCATTTTGATATTCAGCATAGAAATTATAGCTCAAACTATTTTTTCTAGTTGGATTTCTTTGCTTTTGCACTGTAAAAACTTATTATATTTAACAACAGGCTCTCTGACTTAACAAGGGTCTTTTGCATAGCATACTAAATAGAGCCTCCCCTTGCCAGAATGGCTTCTCTAGGGAGAGGGACATTTTCAGGGAAATTACACTAGTATTTCGGTAAAAGAACATGGTAGTGTGCTATTGTAACAGAGAACCTGTGTCACGGGATGTGAAAATTTGGTCTTGGAAGTATTTGTCTTTCTCCAATTACACTAGAACACGTTGTGTGATGAGTTTTAGAGGTTGTAGTACAAATAATTACCATCTTATTTTTTCAGGTCTGGGACCTAGAAACAGGATACCAAATATATCAGATTGAAGATGCACATGGGCTGAATACTGAAGTGACCTGTGCAGCCATTGAAATAAATGGTTTTTATCTTGCTACTGGGGCATGTGATGGTAAAGCAATTACATAATTACCACATTTTTATCACATTTATTTAAAATTACATATTACATGAGCAGACAGAACTCTCTGCCTTGACTGTCTCAGTGACAGAAGAATGAATTTTTTTTTTTTCCAAGGTGGGAGGAAGTATGCACAGAAAGGAATGCACAGCTGTCAGTCTGGGGAAAAGGGGGTGGGGGTGTGTGTGTCTTGGTTGGGTTTTATTTGATAGGTGATTCATAGAAAGGTGATTTTTGGCTGTTTGGGCTCTGGTACTTTGCTAGCCTATTGCTCTCTGGAAGACTTATCTTCAAAGCTCTTGGTCTGAAAAGATGTTTCCTCATAGGACTTAGGACCTAGATCTGTTAACTAAATGGCTACAGATGGAGAATAGTAGTTTTTCAATTTTATAGTATCTAGGCTCAATTTTATAATGTCTGCAGGCACTGAACACTAGAATATCTGTACCTACATGTTTCCTGAATTTTTCACGTGTGTTAGTTAGGGTTTTTTGGTCAGTTTTAAGTAATGTGACAAGACCTCTCCAATACACGAGTGCTACACTGAATTTTGCAGCAAACTTTAATAATTTTGTAATCTGTTAACATGACTGAATAATTCTTCTCACACTCAAATGTTCAAGAGTACACACCTGAAGTATTAAAATATATGAAACATATGAAAGCTGCCTCACATAAAGAGGAGATGGCCTTTTCCACACAGCATACTGGCTCATGTTTCTTGTTTATACTTGGGAGCAGAGACTGCACCCTTTATGGATCTTAAGAGCACAACAGAAGGCGAATGCTATCAGGTCTTACAAAAGTGAAGTCATATGTAATAACTGCTTCTCTTAAGATAATGCTGCAGCTCCTTCTCCCCACTAGCTCTGTGGGACAAGTCCAGCAACCAGGTCCCTTTGCTCTTTGCTGTTGCTCAGAACCTGAAGTCTTCTGCCTGACAGCCCACACTCTGCTTGCTCTCTGATGACGTTAGTCCAGAAGTAAAATAGGCAGTCGTCTTTCATCCTGGGCTGCAGCATAAAACAGACATGGAAAAAAGATGGGGAAAAAGGTGGGGCTAGTGGTGAAGATGTTTTCTGGTAAGTTTTGTGCCCTAAGGGTGCTTTCCTAAGAAACACACACGCTGTTACAGCTTTTGAAAACCAGTGACCTAGCTCTGAACCTTCAATTGGATTTTCTTTTTTCTTCTCCTTTCCCTGTTTGATCCAGTTCAAGTTTCTGACTTGGAAACACAGGTTATTGCTGAAAGTTCATTCCCTTTTATATATTTTTCTCATCCATGTGTAGGAACAGTGAAAATTTGGGAGTTTGAAAGTGGGCAGGAAGTTAAAGCCTTGCCTTTGGCCCAGCACAGCAAAGATGAGTGTCGTCTGCTGAAGATAGTTTATCTGAAGGCTAATGAGAGTCAACATGCACTTCTTGTTTTGGAGCAGAGTGGGAAGATGAAAATTATTCAGGTTTTTCAAATATACTTTTTTTTCCCCCCTAATTTCATTTGGTAGCTCCTAATTTTCAAGGTAAAACAGGATTTTTTCATTAATTAGTAGATAAACTTTTCGAAACTATCAAGGAACAATTCACTTTCTGCATGCCATCAAAGTAGCTTTCTGCCTTTCTGTGTAAGTGTTACTATGTTCATTAGTCCATTGCTGGTTTTCAGCATTCTCATAATTTCTTTCCTTGCATTGGCTTTTCTGTTTGTGATTGAGATTTCAGTAGTTATAGATCCTTTAAGGTGAAAGCTTTAAAATATTGCTGTTGTTATTATACACCGTGTTTGCCCTGTTTGAAGAGTTTCTAGTTCATCAGCAGTTGAGATTGGTTAAAACTGTTCCTGCAAATCCTGTTTACGTATTTAGCCCACTGTGCTGGTCAGAGCCCTGCTTTTTAACAGCACCTCAGGCCTAGGGTTCTCATGAGGCAGCTGTACCTTTTCCTCCTTCACCGCTGCCTTTCAGCCTTAGTGCACTCCTCGGGCAGTGGAAGACACAGCATCACCTTTGTAGAGATCACTGTCACAGTTCAGCAGCTGAGCCCTCAGACTCAGATACTGCTGACCCATCCCAGTCATTTGTATGCCACAGAGGCTCCATTTAACATTTACTGATAGGAAGCTCCCATGACTCAGGATTCAGTTTCACAAACCTCAGAGGCCTGAGGCCTATACACTTATGTCACTCTGAAGCTCTTCAACTGTACTCTAATATTCCTCTTGGTATATTTTCCCTCTATGGAGAGTAGGTGACCATGGTATTATCCTGCAAAAATACTCAGTATTGGAGAAGATTTTGGCTAAAGGATTTTTTTTTTTTTTTTGTCTAAAATTACTAGATTAAGACAGTGGCTGCTTAAGAACTGATACAAAGAAAGAAGACAGTAATAAATGAGATTGACTTGCTTGGCTTGATTTTGAGAGTCTACTCTGTTCCCTTCAGCTAAAATTAACAGGATGCATTTGGAGCTCACAATAATTGTGCTTTCATTTCTCAGACAAATCATGTTTCTGTAGATTTTTCTTCCTCAAATTGGAATGTTTTACTTGGGACAAAGTAATTCTCCTTCCGAAACTTTAAATCCACTATGTGCAAAGGAACAAAGTTTGTGGGGAAAAGTAGTAAGTTTTACGAGACAGATGATACATTTAGGGGAAAAAAAAATACAAGCTCTCATCTTGGTAAATAATTTATTACTTCTGAGCCTCCTCGAATAAAAACACAGGGTTTGCTTTTGATATTCAGATTTTTCTGAAATACTACGTCACACCAATTGCCCCGCAGTGTTATTACTGAAATTGTTAAATCATTCATGCAGTGTAAATGTATCCCTTGACAAACAGGTTGATGAGGAGTTAAATCTCCTCCAAATCTTTATGAATCTAAGTACATTAATACTGTTTCACATAATTGCAGAACTACTTTTTTATACAAATGTTTCAGTGATAATGAGAAATACAGGTTGTTATTATTATTAGCTTTTTAAGAGGCTCTGAATATAGTAGTTAACAAGGTAAACTTGAGTAGAACCCCAAAACCAGTTCATCCTTTGCAGGAATCTACTATAGATCTCTCAATTTTTAATCCTTCCCCCAAGGTATTTCTTGTTTGATACACTTAATATCATAAGATTTACTAAAATCTTAATCATTGCTTCATTCTGGAGTTCAAGACATCTATGAAAACAGTAGAAAACATAAGGAGCTCATTTCAGTAACACTTCCCAAAATGGACAGAAATATCAAAGTTAAAGCCGAAACTAGATATCGAAGTGAATTTGATATGGTCGGAAAAACTATCAAGGTAACTCCCAGTAGCCTCTAAGCAAAATGGGGAGGAATCAATGACTCAGGGCCATGGCTGAACCATGGCTTGTTCTTCTCACACAATTGGAACAACCACTAGTTTTGCTGGTATGGGACATATGAACTGAAGACTAGCAATGTTAATAAAATAAGCAGCTATAACTGAAGAGACAACTTACTTTAAGGGGATAGTTAAACTGAATAAAATCAAAAGCTCTGAACTCCACAGCTGGACAGCATCTAATACAATTTAAAGTGAGCTGGAGTATCTCTGGCTGGTGCTTCAGTTTGCAGTTTAGGCATATGCTAGGTGATACCTGTAATAGTTTTTGTAGTTTGGCACAGAAAAGAAGCTTTTGTCACACACTTACTGATAATTTTCTTGTGAATAGAGAAATCCTTTCCTTCCTTTTTCATTAAGTCAATTATTTTAATAGGGTAACTCAGTTCAAACATATCTATATGTCACATGGGTGCTTCCTGAAGCAGTGTCATTTCCACGAAGGAATCCAGTTGTGTCTCTGTCACTGAAGCCTGACACCTTACAAACACAGGATTTTTTCCCGGATATTCAGCTGCTGCCTAACACCAGTTCTCCGAGGAATGATACAGAGGTAAGAAACACTTCAAAGTTCCACATCATTTACAGAAGATTAGAAAGTAAAATGTTTACTGTGCCCTCAAGGATTTCATGTTTTAGCAACAGGATAAGAACCAAATAAGTATTTCAAACTTTTCAGTACACTGAAGGTCTAAAATAAATCATGTAAGAAAGTGATTGTTTCTAATGGCTATATCTGCCTAATAATCCATTGCATGGTTGTCGCCATGATTAAGCAGCTGCTCTGAACATACACTTCACATTCCTGTACAAAATAGTAAGTTGAGGTTCTTGTGTAAAGTCTTCTAGAAATGAAATGCCATTCATTAGTATAGCTAGACTGACCTTCAGTAATAGTGACGCATAAAGATCTAGCTGCGTGTTAAAGTGATTCCATTTTCTCTTATTGCTTTGGTAAAATAAGATGTCAAATTTATGTTCCAATTGTTGACCAATTTAACTTGAATAGTCCATGAGGCTTAAGTTTTGTTTTGTATAATTTCACTAACTCTGTGACAGATCTGGATGATGTTTATGGAAAGGTCATTAGATCTTTCATGTGACTCATTCCTTTAACCTGATTAGAGTATCTGCATAGATACTTACTTCTGATTAATCTTCAGTTCTTACAGTTCTTCAGTTCTTACAGCTGTTTTCACACGTTCTAATTGCAGCTGTGCCGTACATAGCAGGTCAGGTTGGCAAATGGAGGCCGCTGTTCTCTGCAGCAGGGTGTCTCCCAGTAGTATCACTCCCTGCTTCCTTCTGGTGCTTCTGTGTAGCTCAAATACAATAGTATTAGAATAGCCTTGAATATGCAGTTGTTGTAGACACTGTCAATTTAGGCATCTTGTTAAATTAACAGCTAAAACATTTCACTCTCTAGAGTCCACATTGCTCCTGCTCAAAATTTTTTTTATGTTCTTTGTAGAATTTTGTACCTTCTGTGGAAATGAAGTGTTTTGATGTTTTAAAACTAGAAGGTTGCAGTTTGATAGCTACAGGAAGTGCAAATGGTGCAATAATTTTGTGGAATTTTGAATCTGCCTCTGTGAGATGCCTGTAAGTATTGCTTTCATGGAGGCAATTTGATCTCCAGTATTTCATACAAACTTTTCAAATGGCATACTGGAAATTCTAAGATACCCAACTGTAAAGGGTGATGGACAAGCAGGAGTTAAAGTAGCAGTTTATGCAGGGCCCCCTCCCTCCCACTTCAAATTACTTTGCTAGCTAGTCCTGACATTGCAGGTAGGAGAAGTGATCAAGAGAGAGAGTCATTTAGGGAAGAGATGATGTAATTAAGAACAGCGTTTTAACATAACTCAGTACTGCCACTGAAGGAAACTCTCACTGTGTAAGCCACTCTGTCATTGACTAGGGGCTGCTACTGAGCTATAGAAACATCCTTATTTTGGAAGTTTCGTGTTTGGGAGGACACCTGGAAATAATGCTACTTCAGATGATAATGGCAGATGTTCTACATTATCAGTATCATTGCCTATATCTAGATGACTAGAAGTCACATTCAACACGGAGAAATCTGAAGTGATTTTGGAGGTTTGGGAGTAAAAATCTTTCACAGAAAGTGACAAAAAGTGAGCATAGGATGGTTCCAGATATTCTCATGCGAATTAAGCGGCTACATGAGGAAAGTGAACAATGACAATATGTCTGGTTATACTGAGTGGAGCAGCATGGTAGTACTTCTGTGTTGGTGATGGAATACATGCCTTTTAAGACCATATAAAGTCAATATTTAACTATCCTACCCAATAGTTTCACAGCATCGTTCATGGGTAAAACTGGCATGTTTGTGAGAAAGTGAGCGGAGGTTTTCTGTACCACAGGAAATAAGCAAAACTTAATTGCAGTTCTGGCTCTGTCTCTTCCTTTGCTTTTGCCTCCCTGTATATGAGGGAGCCAATTCATGTGGATGCATGGAAGACAGGAAAGTCAATGCTTTGTAAGTAGAGTATTTTACCCAAGGTTCACGTGACTGGTTTGAATGCCAGGAACAAGGTACTTTTCTAACATTAACTTAGCTAGTTAACTTCAACATAAGTTACTTTACTTTTCTCTTACATACTAATTCTCAAGAAAATACTTGGCTGAATGAAATGTTCATCATTCCATCAGGTTCCTGTTTTTCCTGGCACAGGCACATTCTGTACGTACTCTTCACTGACATTAATCCATCATAACTGATTGGCTGATTCTGAAAAACTGTGTCTAAAACTTTTAGGTGACATGCATTCTGGGAAATGAAATGTTTAATTTTTTAGATTACAAATAACATCTGCAACTTTTTCTGGGAACAATACGCAACCTATCTGACACATCCTGTACAAACATCTTTATTTTCAGGTGTAAAAATAATGAAGACAGCGAGACTTCAGTTCTTCAAGCATCTGGAGTCAATGCCATGTTATTCCTTGTACACAGTGCTTTCTCTTCCAGGTAACTGTGTGCATTTTATCTTCCCCCAGGACAGGCGCAGTCATTTGGAATTTTGTTCTGGTAAACTGATGTAATGTTTGTCCAAGATAGCTGATTTAAATTGAGATTTTCTTTGCATTTAGTCAATTCAAGTTCAAATAGTTAATTAGCTTTCCCATCCTTAAACTTTTGTAATGCTTATCCATCCATATTATATGTACTTTTTTTACACTCCACTAAGCTATCCTTTTGTCCTCTAAATGACCTCATAAGCCTCAATTCTGTTGAAGAATTCAACAGAGATCAGCTTTTGTCAAGTATTAGTTGGCCTGTGTACTGTACCTTCTTTGATTCTTATCTCTGTGGGATAACTCTGTGTGGCAGCAGGCTTTTTCTTTATTTTAAACCTGATACAATCCTCATGATATTAGATACTCTCAGCAAACAAAGAGAGAGGCAAGCTCATTGAAGCGTGCAGCCTCAAGTTTCATCTTAAAACAAACTAGAACCTGGCTATATGTTGGTAGTGTTGGATGGAGAATAAAATTTTAGCCAAATATGCCCATTTTGAGAGAAAGGCATTGCACGTGTACATAACTTCAGAAGTGCTTGTCTTCCAATGGATATGCAAAGGCAATGGTAGCCAAAAGGACTCAGTATGGTTTAAATACTTACGTGGCTTTAAGGTCTTAAGCAATTAGGCAGCCTTTTTGCTCTCCTGAATCATAGGGATGGTTTATGGTCTTATGTTGCTTTAAAACTTTCACGTAGCTTATGCATTTACTACACCCCTAAATGTACCAGTGCCACTTAATTGAACATAAATTTGCTTTTTGACATTATAGCTTTATTATTAATTTAATAAATTCTAGCTAAATTAAAATGTGGTGATTACAATTCACAAATAAATAGAATTTTTTATAAACCAAGAAAAGTTCTGATTATGCTTAAGCAGGAGGATTCTACAATTGTCTTTGAATCATATAGGCTTAGGATGTTTTGTACATACTGGGAAGGTACCTGGATGAATTTGACTGTGATCATATATATACACACACGATGTTCAAGAACGGTAGCAAGTTTGTAAAATCAAACACTGAAAAATTACAAAGTCATGGCCACCTGTCCAAATTTAAGTGGGCTACCCCAGCTGCATACTTTTTATATGTGTTTTACATTATCCCAGTTATTCAGATACACTCTTCTCAAAAACAGAGCAGCTGTGACACTGGTGTAAGTTAAGTGGCCAGAACCTCTCACTAGCACAGTCAGAACTTTTCTTGACACAGAAACACAAACATTGAAGACCACCTCCAAATTTTTTTCCTGAGTTTCTTCCACAGAATCCCATTTCTGATCATTATCTTAACAGATTGAAAATAAGTTTCTATAATTAATTGAAAACTACTTGCAGAGCAAAGCGCTGTGTAAAATGAAAGGGAATAAGCCATTGGCATGCACCGAATTTTTCCCCTTCACTTCTTGAGGATGAACACCAGTGTTAATTTTGATTTACTATGGATTTAATTCGCTCAAAACTCCTGACAGGAGAGGTTGGCTGTGTAATATGCAAATATTGCCTAGTTACTTGGATAAATTTCTAAACCACCAACAACCCTTACTCTAATCAGTCTAATCAAGACAGTATTTTATTATGCTTTATTACACTGGATGATGTTGAATTCCAGATAGCAAACAGTACCTTCAAGAATATCAGTGATCTCCAATAATTTTTTTCACACAGGAAAATTAGTTCCCTGCCCTCTACTGCTGCTACTGTGAGGAGTGATATCAGTGACATTCCAGAGCACAAGAGCAGGTCTTTGAACCTACATAAGGTAAGTGTAGTGGCTTCATGGATTTGGTAGCATTCAAAACAAATTTCTGTTTTCATTTTGGTTTTCGTTTTAAAATCCTGTAGCTTACTAAAATCCCTCCATAAAGCCATGCACAAAACTAAATATCAAGAATTACAGAGAAATGAACTTTGTTCACCTAAGCTGAATGAAGTGGGGAAGTAAGAATACATTCTGCCAGGCAGCTAGCTCTGTGATACATGGAATAGCTATCACAGTGTTTATCAGATGCCTATCACTAGCAATTCTGACTTTAAATAGGGGTATAGAAGAACTCAAAGGGGAAGGTAAAATAGATAAATCATGAAGTACTTGAATAAAAGTGGAACCACATCTACATTGCAGCCACACTTGCTTGGATACATTGCTTTCAAATGACAGTATGAGAACTTTTTTTAATTTACCATCAAGACGCCAGTGTCTCAGTCTGTGTACTATTTGCTAAGGATAGCATTATCATTTTTGTGACACTTTTTGTCCTTTTGTGCCAGAATAATATGCCATATCTGCAGAGCAACAAAGAGCAAGTAGGCAAAAAAAGGAAAATCCTGCTACCTCTCAGATTCTTTCCAGCACATTGTTTCAGCAGAGCATGGCACTTTCATAAATTTCCAAGTAGACACAGGCCTAACTGTCATCCGCAAACTAAAGTATACAATATCTTGTGCTATGTAGTCATTAGAATAACAAAATGGACAGTCATTTGCGGCTCTTAAAAAGATCCCCAAACACCCAACACATCAAGCCTTACAGATCAAGCCTTACAGGTAGGATGAGATTGAAGTGGCTTTTCCTCTTCTAAGATGCCTCAAACACTCGTGACTGCATAGTTTTTCCTGCCTTATTTGGCTTAGCAATTTTTGAGGCCAGTATACTGATTACTGTCAGCCTTGGGGATCCTCAGAAGCCTATATAGTAAGGCACAAATGAAGGACTGTGACTATTCTTATACTGAAGATGCAGATGTGAGTAAATGTTACTGCTATGCACTTTGTTCGTCTTTGCTCAAGGCAGTAACAAGACTATATGCATGCTCTGAATTAAATTCTCTAAGTAAAAGATCAAGGTTACTTTCACATGACTGTAAGTAAGTGATCGACTTTGCTTTTCCTAAGAAATTAATGCCATTCAGCCAAATTTACCTTTAGCATGCTCCTAAATTCCAATTAATGTAATTTGTGATTTGTTCATCTGTGATTTTGATTCTCTTCAGATAAAATGTTTCTCATTTTCACTCAGTGCTGTCCCAGATTGAATGGAAATTGGGGGAATATTTGAATGCCTCAATTAAAAAAAAAATAAGTTCTTAAAATAATTTCAAATAGAGAACTGTTCTGTAGTTATACCCAAGTTCCATTTTCTAATTCTGCTACATTTTATTCCTTGCTTTTAGGAAAATGTAAGAAGTGATGAAATTAATACTCTAATAACAACAGGTATGGAAAGATGTTTTTCATTCTCTTTGTTGTTGATCCATAAGGTCTGCCCAGATTACCACAGAAACTGAGTTTGTCAGTTTGTCTGACAAACTGTGTTTAGAATACTTGGGATACCATTGGTATGTGGATGACACACCTCAACGTCTTTTGCTCACCCCTGACTTGCAGTTATTTCCCAAAAGCCAGTCCAGGATGCAGGATATGCAAGGGCCTAATGGCTGATTTTTCTAAATAGACAGGATGCTGAAAACCTTGCAGAATTTGGGAATGTCAACTATACACACTTCTCTTCCACATAAATATTCGAGCAATGAATTATTGAAATGGTATAGCAAGACCCAACTTGAGTCAAGTATGAGTGAGTGGCCTCACAGAGAAAATCTTCAAAAGCAGATAGAATTTTAGAAAGAAAAATCTTCCCTATAGTATATATCCTTAAAACAACAGAAACAAGAGAGAGACAAGTGCTTAAGAGTTAAAGCTGTGCAAATGGAGTCAGTGAATTTGCAAGAAGCAAATCCTCTAGATTCTTCTGAATCCTCTAGACATCCTTTGCTGGAAAGCAGACTTTCCCAATAACAAGAAATTTGATCATCTGAAATGTGGATTTAAGCTGAATTTATTTTGCAAAGAAAACATGCCCTGAAACTAGAATATCCCTAAGCCTTGTAGCTGCTCAATGAAATAGACACTCATGTTAGGTCCTGTATCCACTGAATGTCCATTTCACTGAGGACCTTCACGGGACTCCCCAGCATCTCCAGCTCTGGGGAAGTCACAACAGGAACTCAAAAAAGGTTCTCTGCGACCACCGCCTTGCATTTAGCAGAAGTTTTGAACTTGAGAAGTACATTTCATTGCTGAATTGATAGTAATCTCTAGAAGCCTCGTGCAGAGGCTGCAGAACTGCCTCTCAACTGTCCTGATGACCACTATCTTGCACTCCTCCTCTACTCTCACTGGTGCTTGCAGTTTCTGTGAAATCTGTTACTGTGCTCTAAATAAGGAGCACATGGAGCTTAAATAAGGAGCCCCACATCATGGAGCAATACTTCTGGCTGGTTTAGATAAGATCATGAAGATTGTTCTAATTTCTTTTCAGTTGTCTTTTATCCGTATCTGTAATGTTTTCAGAGTAATGCCATCTTGATGATGGAGTTTATTTTCAAATTTACTCTTTTTTAGTTATGTAATTTCTGTACATTCAAAAGCAGTACTAAAAATTGTCAAGAAAATGTATGATCATTTGTGTTCCAAAGCAGAAGACACACCTAGGTATAAGAATATCCAATACTTGAAGATGAACGCACAGGTATCCAACGCTGTACCAGGACACTCACCAATACTAGCTTCTGCTCATGAAAATGGCTGTATCTGCCTATGGAGAATTCAGGTAGCTATCTGAATGTCTTTGGGATGGGACTGGACAATTGAGAAGATCCAGTAATCTAGAGAAGTTCCAGAATTCTACTAATCTTTCGAAACACGCTTTTTAACTAGCAATTGCAGATGTTTCGTTGCATTTTTTGGTTAATAGTTTCTTCCACAGACACAAATTAGTTCTGCTTTAATAACTGTAGCAGAGAGTAATGGCAAGAGGAAAATGAAGAAACATGACTTGAAATAATTATAACAAAAACTGACTGTAAAGTTATGTGAAAGTCTAGAAGCTGATTTTTCACCCACATTATTTACCTTCTAAGAAAGGATGATAGGCAAGGCAGAGTGTCCTACTCTCAGAAGAGGAGAAATATATCTGGAATTTTGCATAAGCCAGCTAGCACTAGTAGGGTTACAAATCAGGAGAGAATAGTATCCTAATACATAGTGTCTACAGCTATAATCAGCTTGTAAAGCCAGTCATACAACAGAATGCCAATGGCTTAGTTGTCATATCACCTCGGACCTCTGAGACTTTATTCCAGAAAACACGTTACTCTAAACAAGAGATAAAAAGCAAATGCAGAAAGAAGGGGGAGTACCATGATATGACTGGGTAATATTGGTCATTGTGGCAGACAGTGATCACAATACGTCAGCCATGTAAGGCTTTAACAGGAATCCCAGTAAAGGCAAGTCATAGCAAGATTTTTTCAGAAAGATGGTGAGGTATCTTTGCAGATGTTTTATGCAAAAATAGAATATGATGGTAAATGTCCCCAAGTACAGTAGGTGTGGGCTTTGTTGGGTTTTGTTGTCTTCATGGTTGATATATTAGTGTGCTTAGATTCCTGTAGGAATCTCCAAGTTCAGATGATGGTGATGTCATCACTAACATGATTGTCGTCATCGTTACATGGATGACACAGTCAAGATTCTCCTTATCAGCAAGCCTTTCTCCCTCACCTCCTCTCAAACCTGAAGAGACAGTCAGGGAGAAAGTCTACTAATGCTTTCTTGAAAAATATAACAAGTTGGTGAAGGAGACATCATGGGTCCATTTGCAGCAAGAAACGGTATTTCAGTAGCAAATGAGATGCATGCTGATGATACTCCACAGCAAATGAGAGTTAAGTGGTAAAGTAAGGGTAGGTACAGATAGACTGTGAATTGCCTGAAGAGTGAAATAGCTTGTTCTTTTGATGTAGAAGAGATGGCAACCAGAAGAAGAATACATCCCAGCTATCTTGGTCATTCAGTAGATTAGGAAACTGCCTTTTTAGCTGCTTTCTGAATAGATACAAGCTGAGTGACGCTGAATAGATCAAATCAATGGCACTCAACTTCTGATGCATTGATTTTTTTTTTTTTCCATGTAGATATTATAAAGAGAAATATGTGTTTGTTTATTTATTTATTTCAGGGAAACTTAGTGAAAGAACTTCTGCCATTTTCAAAATATCCTTCAGTTCCTCTGACAGCACTATGTACAGACATCTCCACTAAAATGCTTTTGGCAGGCAGTAAGGGTGAGTAAACATGTTAGTCATTCTGTTCAGGACAGTTTGTAGGACCACAAAATATCATGTTGTAAATGTGCGAGAAATGTGGAAATGAAGGTCCAAATGCTGTCAGACTTTCTCCATCAAAGCTATAATTAAATAATTGAAAAGGTATTTTCTGGTATGAAAGGATGGTAGATTAAAGCTTAGCATTACATTAATAGCATTATCAGTAGAATTGTTTTCATAAAAGACATTATGATTTTCTTTGTTCACAAGCCCTGCATATACTTTTCATCTGAATTACTGTATTAATACCAAGGGCAAAGATTACTGCTAAAAAACAAGCAAAAATTTCACATCCACAGTAACAAAACTAAATAAAAAACTGCGGCTGTGGCTGTACCAAGAACCATGATTCAGACACTGATACAGAGTGCACAGTAATGGCTTCAGCAGTATGCTGCTATATAAGAAAGCACTTGTGGTCTGTGCTAGCAGCTCAGCGTTAGACTTTTAATTTCACACCAAATCTGGCAGAAAGTCCAAGAGTTTATCTGCTGTCTGATTCTCCTCCAAACCTTTAGAAACACCCTGGCAATTTTCCTCTTCTGCATCTGTCATATGAGATTTTTGTCCTTTAATGTCTCACTTTTCTTCTAAAATACCTATTAAAACTGTTTCCTGCCAGCTTCCTGCTCTTATACTGTCAGAAGTTGGACAGAGCAAAGGTTTTTTTCCCATTTGTTTCAAAACTGAGCAGTAGCTTGACGTTAATGCTGAAAATGAAGAGGAGTTTCCACTCCCCATTGATTCAAATCAATAAATGAGTTCAGGAAGGCAGCATGCACTGAACAGGATTTTAATTTGTTGTGGAAAAGTATCCACCCTATTACCTATTCACCTGATACTCTCCCTTTGTCCTTTTGTGTTTGTGCCACTGTGTATTTGCTTTTCATGCTTTCCACACCCTTCTCTTTTATCTGCAGTGCTACTACCAATTTCTTGTTCCCATTACAGATTTTTCCTTGTTAGGAAAAGGTCAACTTCTCTGTCAGCCTCCTTGCTTGATTGCAACTGTACAGTCCTAGAAACCAGATGTGACCAGTATGAAGGGTGGAATTACACAAAAGATTCCTCTGTTTAGTAGTAGATGCGAGAGATAAGAGGCAACTTCATCAGGAAAGAGGGAGCCTAGGCAGGAAACTGAGCAGTTGTGGGTCATAAGGAAAATGATTCTTTGACTCTAGTTTCACATCAATGCACTAAAAGGTTGTAAAACGTTAAGCTTTCATTATGTAGGCAATTAATCGAACTTTGTCCATTTTACCAAGATTGAAAAACAGTTTAATCCCAGGAAGCTCTCATACCTAGTTTGTGCAATAGATAACTGTCTTGACAAGATGACTCTTATTTTTTACGCATGTCATTTAAAGAAAAAAATCTACGTTCTTTCCATTTCAAACCTATCCAGTTAATGACACATTGCTTCCAAAGAGTATACATATTTCTTTGCATATTAATGAATGGTCCATTATTTTCTAGTCTGTGCTTGTCAATGAGATAGTGACATTCACCTTAAAATAACCTTCACTGACCTGTAATCTCTGCTTCATTCTGCCCAGTGTTTACCAAGAGAATATGGTAGCAACTAGTGAATGTGTAGCACTAATGAAATTTACTGATGTTTTGCTTTTTCCTTTCTTAAACAGAGGGACATATTATGTGCTGGAGCATTGCCTCATTCTTAGAAGATCCACAAAATAGTAAAAATGTAAGGAAAAGTCTGACAGATTTTCTTAACCTGAACGGTATACCAAGATAAGACAAACAGAAAAACAGATTCAGAGTTCTATGGGGACTAAAAATGTTTCCTGCACATAAAGGTCATGTCTTTCGCTTGAAATAATAACTTGATGCTGTGAAAAACAAGAAAAACATAAGTAAAATGCTGTTAGCATTATTCCATTGTGTTCAAAGAGGCTACGTTAAGAATGAATTTATCCATGTCCCCTAAGTGATGTTTCTACTATATGCCATTTGCAGGCTGTTTCATGGAGGGATTACTTTTTCACCTCTTTTAATTTTCAGAAAGCCATGCTGATAAATCCACTAAGCTAGCAACCATGGTGGCATACAGAACTGCCTGAAATATGGTTACGTTGCTTTTTTCCCTCAGCAAATAAAGGAGGAGCTCTGCTGGAAGGCACACTCTAATGAAGTGGTTGACTTATTTCATGAAGAGGAGAAAAATGTGGTAGTGACAGCATCCGTTGATGGTTCAGTCAGGTACAAAAATGACTAATACTTCTTACTGCTATGGCAAATCAGTTGAACTGTCTCCAAAGTTCCTCTTCTTGCTGGACTTGTATATAGGCTAGAACTTAAATAAAATACAACACTGGGTGCATTTTCTGTTTTGCACCTGAAAGAACTAATTTTTTAATGTAACGCTTACAGTTTTCTCAGGAAATCAGACTTTATGCAGACTGTCATTTTCTTTCAGCAAGGTGATCTTGAATGCACAGGTAATGGCCCCATCATTTTAGAAATGACCTCCTGTTCTAATCCTATTTCAGCTTTCAATACTTGTTAAATTGACATGGGTCCTAAGCATTGCATCTAACCAACGCTTCTGCAGTTAAACCATTGCAGTCTGAAGATGCTTTATAGACAACTGTAATTCCTTCTTGGCTAGCAAGTACATTTGAAGGGGTTTCTGTTGTTTTTTTGGGGGAATCCATGAGGAAATTTTATGTAAATCCTGCTCTGGTGCAGCACTTTACTGTACGAACAATTCAGGATATTGGTGCCTTTACTCCTCAGTTTTGTAATTATAAAGATGAACTGTTTGTTTTCCGATTTTTACAACATCCTTCTGAGATTTTTTTACTTTCAAGTTACTTACATTATAAACAGTGAACTTCAATCATCTCATTGATTTTTTGTTTTGGTTTTTTTTTTTATGACTAGCATACTGAACTCTAGAACAGTGCTGCAGAACTTGATAATGTAGACAGATATTTTGCCACTTTTTGTTCCACTTCTAAAAGTATCCATTTTTCCTTTCTGTCCTCTGGCACTGCTTCTACTATGTCTGTAGGCTCTGGCATGCCATGAACGGATACTATCTTGGTTACTTCGGACAACCTAGGAAGTTTGACTTATCAGACATCAGTCGGTTGATTTTGCCTTGTGATGTTAATAACATTCCTACTATAATTAAAGAGGAAAGCAAGCATATGGAAAAGAAGAAGATGTTTGAATATCCTCTAATGCTGGACAGGGACAAGTAAGATCTCATACATTTAGATATATGTATGATTGGGGGAACTGTTCTGAAAATATACTGAAAAAGCACCTTTCACCTGAAGGTCAGAAAAATATTAGTATTTCCTATGAGTTATTTATAAAAATCCTTTTAAAAAAATGTTTTTACAGAGCATGGATAAATCTCGGAATTGTTATGACTAGGTGACAGTCAGGATTAGGTGATATTCAGGATTTGAATTCAGTAATAGTGATGACTAGATAATTGTCTCAGATTTTAGCCTAATTAGAGTCTGTATGTTATGTGTACATTGTTCAGGTTAGCAGCCTGTTTCCTTTCCAGTTCCACAAGCTGATATACTTCTGGGATCCAAAAAAAATTTATTGAAAAAGCTTAATGTGAATAGTTTCAACCCAAACCCAAATCTTTCTGTAAGAATAAACCCAATTTAGTCTTTCAGTTTAAAAAATGTCTTCTTAAATTTGCTGGGATGTTATGGATACATTCGCATACCTCTGATCATGACGTTCTGACACTGGCATAGATGTTGCATGTTCAATAGCAGTGTTGGACCTCTCTCGTTCTAGTCAGAGTTCTCAAGGGATGTAGTTACTTACAAATCAAGCCAGAGAGCCTTGACTCTCTAGCTTAAGTCATATTTCTAGTCCTGGAGTTCCGTGGTTCATTAATTAGTGGGTTGACCAAATTAACATAAATACTGAAGCAGGAATCTTCAGAGGCAACATGCACATTGCCTTTAGTAACAAAGCAGTCCAAATCTGGGAGAAATTACTTCAGGGCTTAAAAAGTCATGCATGCTTTAGTGGTAAGGTTTCATATACCATGTGCATTCTTAGGCTGCCTTTTAACCAAAGCACTTTGGGACAATGGGAAATCTCTAAGGTGCTTTACTGTTACCCCATTTAGTTCGGTATCCTGCTAACAGTTATTATTCCATAGAGTTCTTACTAATGTGAGCAGTCCTACTGAAGTCAGAACAGTAGCTCATCAACATAGAGAAGTGCTTGGCTGTGCTTAAAAGACTAACCCCTGTAGTCCTTTTGAATAGTCAGTAGCTAGTTTGAAACCTCTCGAATCAAAGATAAAAAATAAGCTAGCTAACCTTAAAGAAACTTTCCATAAATGATATGCCTGTGTCAAACTGTGACTACTTTTTGAGGACCTTTCAAATATTTCAGTAAAGGAGAATGGCTATCATACATTTAAAACACATTAATTAAACAGAGTGGAAGCAAATGAGAAGCCTGCTTAACTGTGCAGAGAACTGAAGAAAAAAAAAAAAAGGCGGCCACACGCTGCACAATAGAAAGTTTCAGTCTTATCATTCTATATATTCTGTGTGCTGCCACCTCAAGAGTAATTTGATTCCTCTGGATTAATTGTACAAAATAATGTTATGGATAGCTAGCCAACCATCAGCCAAAAGGCTGTGTTACTTATGGATGCTAGGTTTTGTTCTTTACGGGATACAGGAGCTTCTGTTAGGTCAAGTCAGTTATCTTCACAATGCTACTACAATTCGCTTACTGTATAGTGGTCATATAAGTCACTAAGATAATATTTTAGAATTTCAATTAACAAATCAAGTTATAAATGCTAATAACAGATATTCTCCAAATGTGCATATATATGAAAAGGTACAAACCCAGCTGAATAGCATAGGTGCTTACAGTTTAAACAAGAGACTCAGGTGATCTGTTGAAAAATGTCAGCAGGTAGGTAGACCCATACAGAAGAATGGTCTCAGTTTCTCTCTGTAGTTTATAATTCCTTAGCTTGTGTGATCTGACTTTATTTTCCTGATTATAAATGAAACTGTGTTAATCCACACTAATAGACACTCTAGTCTAGATCATTTCATCTTGTGACTGACTTTGGAAACCAGATATATGAGCAGAGGAAACCTCCTTTGTTATGAAAGTGGCATACAGGAATTGTAGTCAGAACTGACAGAAATGCTGAAAAGCCATTATCAGACAGTGAGTTAGCACCCAATTGTGGTTACTAGTGTTTTTTATATCAACATTTCCAGCCTCCTAAAGATGACAAGCCTGTATCTGGATTGGCAAAGTGTTAGTGAAGCACTTCATGACACCTATGAAGGTCCTAATATAAATTATGTTTTGAAGATACATGGAATAATTTATACTTCAAAATAATTTTATTTTGGAGCCAGCTAAGAATGTTGCATTCAGAATTGCCATTTTGATAGGGGCATCAGATTTTTTCTGTCTTGTGTGTACAGGTGGAAGTCACTGACCAGATCACCTTCAGTTTTAAAAAAGCCTAAACATGTGGACATAATTCAGGACTTGAAGTTTTTCAAAGCTCTGGCTTCTCCAAAGGTAGCTAGTGTATGTAATATATGACAAATTTGTTTCTGTTCTGTGCAACGTATAGGAAATGCAATTGTATTTCTCATTTAGAAATTAGCCACAAATAACCCTACATATCCTTCTCATTCAATGGACAAGCTAGATCAAAAATGCATAAACAGAGGGATCAAAGAAACTCTCTGGTTTTCATTCTCATTGTTTCACACTTCCAAATTCCAATTTAGAAGGTAGCACACACCAATTCACTTGTTTGGTTTAAGAGCATTAAAAAAACCTAGAATTTTCACATGGTCCAACAGAAATCCTAAATATCTTAAGTTTACTTGAAGGAAGTGTGAAAATACTAGAACAACAGTGAATCCCTGGTTATACACAATAGTTCTTTCAGGGTTCCCATGAAATCAGAAACCAGGAGAGTTCTGAGTTAGTATACATATCGTTATAAATACTTTCTACAACTCTCATTGAATAATGGTGGAGCTCCTCCATCTTTACCTGGTTTAGCCCTTGAAAGGCATGGGAACAGATAAAACAACTTATCTTGCAGTTGTAATAGAGAAGGAAAAAGATACAAATCCTATGGCCACTTGCCAAAAAAGCTTCCTTTAACACCTTTCTGACCATTCTTCCCCAAAGGTTAGTGGCCAACAGCTAGTGAGGGGTATGAACTCTTAACATCCTCTCCTAAAATTTGTGGTACTGTGAGTCTCCTATGCACCACAATCTGATATCCTAATGTGGCCAGCTAAGGTCCAAACAGTAGTCAGTAAAAGACAACATTACTCCATGTGACCAGCTACTTTTCTCTGTGTACCTGGGGTGAAAGGATGACAGGGCGAGTGGAACACACTTGTCCACTGTTTATTGCCCTGTCTTGCCAGCCAGTTCATAGAATCGTAGAATAGTTTGGGTTGGAAATGACCTTTAAAGGTCATCTAGTCCAACCTCCCTGCAATGAGCAGGGACATCTTCAACTAGATCAGGTTGCTCAGAGCCCTGTCCAGCCTGACCTTGAATGTTTCCAGGGATGGGGCATCTACCACCTCTCTGGGCAACCCGTTCCAGTGTTTCACCACCCTCATCATACGAAATTTCTTCCTTATATCTAGTCTAAATCTACCCTCTTTCAGTTTAAAACCATTCCCCCTTGTCCTGTCGCAACAGGCCCTGCTAAGAAGTTTGTCCCCATTTTTTTTCTAAGCCCCCTTTAAGTACTTAAAGGCCGCAATAAGGTCTCCCTGGAGCCTTCTCTTTTCCAGGCTGAACAACCCCAACTCTCTCAGCCTTTCTTCGTAGGAGAGATATTCCGTCTCCCTGATCATTTTTGTGGCCCGCCTCTGGACCCGCTCCAACAGGTCCATGTCTTTCCTGTGCTGAGGGCTCCAGAGCTGGATGCAGTACTCCAGGTGGGGTCTCACCAGAGTGGAGTAGAAAGGCAGAATCACCTCCCTCGACCTGCTGGCCATGCTTTTTTTGATGCAGCCCAGGATACAGTTGGCCTTCTGGGCTGCGAGTGCTCATGTCCAGCTTTTCATCCACCAGTATCCCCAAGTCCTTCTCCACAGGGCTGCTCTCAATGTTCTTCCTTTCTCACTTGTCCTTCCTGACTGGGACACCAGGCATACAAGATCAGCTCTCATCTCATCTGGGTGCGTGACTATTTGGAGCTAGTGGATTACTCGCTGCTGAGCAAAGGTAGTCAAGCATGCAGTTTTGAGGCATTCTGTCATTTCACCCCAAGGCAGCAACAAGTTGACGAGCTGCCTTAAGTCACAGTTATACCACTCACAGATGCTGCACAATCTCCGGAGTGGCCTATGTTTAACTGGGAAACTGATGTAGCTGCTTTTGTGCCGTTGGAGCATGCACTACAAAGTAACGGCAGTTGATCATTGGTCCCCTGCTGTTCAACAGCTGTAGGTACAGCACTGTGTAATAGAGAATAGTGTTAGCAGGAAAAATATGTTGATGCTGGGTATAAAACATGAAATTTACTGTAGCAAAGTCAGTGGTTGAGTACACTGTGGGACAAGTCAGCAGAGGTGGGCTCTGCTTTGGGTTTTACCTAGTTATTTGGAAAGAGGATTCACTGGAGGTCTCATAGCAGAAGATGCTTGATACGCATTAGCACTAGAGTCCCCTTCTGATTGAGCTTTTGATGAGAAAAAGGTTTGATTTCCTATCATTCGCCTTAGAGCAGAACAAACCAGTGGACTTCAGTTTGCACTTCAGACTAGAGGTGTGCTATTTGGTGGCTGTGCAAACACTTAGAGTATATGATTAGCTCACCATAATTCAGTTGTCCGGTCCTTCTGAAATGGGTAATGCCTAGTAATTAATGCACATGAGTAATGCTTAGAATTGACAGACAGACACTGGAACAGATTCCTTCAGGAATGTTTTACATTGGTGAAGATGTGGTATCTCTTAAACTGTTACTAATGCAGCACACTCAGTAATGTATTAGTAGGACCATGAAAAAATGTAAGTAGAAAATCTCTGTATAATGTACCATTTCAAATTAAACTCATGTTTTCAAATTCGATGGAAACAAGGGTTCTTTGCAATATTTCAAGCTGTAGGTGCGTTTTTTTCCTTTTTGGAGGACCATAAATTGGCCTCGTAGGGTGAAAACATGGTTATATCAAGTGTCGGGATTCATGTGAGTGTGGATGAACTGTCAAGGTACCTGAGGTATTTTTGCAAATTCAAAGCTTTCAACAGTTAACAGTAGAAAAGTCTTGTTCATCTGCATCTTTCCCAACTGGCTGCTGAAGTGTTTGTGATTTGCAAAGCCCAACAGAAGGATAGCCAGACTGACAGACCTGTGATGAAGCTGTCATCTGGGAGGGAGTTCTTACTCCGTTACCCCTTGGCTAGACTTCCAGTGTCCTCTGATAGCATGCATCCACCAAACCTGCAAGTACCCTGAAAATGATTCCTTTACTGAGCTTATCCAAGGTGTTAATAGGTGAGAGAACTAAGTAAGTGTTTAAAACTAGCTTTAACTTAGGTGATAAAAAGCATTTTGCTGTTAACTGCCTTGATTTTTGCATCCCTTGGGAAGCTGGAATTTTGCTAGTTATGCATTTTCTATAGCAGAAGAATGATCCCCTCCTAATTTAAAAAAAAAGTTCAAGGCAGCCTTTACATGGTACAAAGAAAACCTGTGCATAAACCATAATCTCTCTACATAGTAATGACATACATTTCTTCAGATAATGTCAATGTTACCATGCAATTCAATAACAGAAGTAATGTTTTCATTACCTTTTGTCTTCAGCTAGTAATGCTCTGACTTTGGTTTCCCTTGGTAAGATCCACAGACAACCTTTGGAAAGTTCCGAGTCTGGAAACAGAGAGGCTGGTGCAGTATTTGGGTCTCTTCCTATATATAAGGTAAGCACAAGTGTTTTCTTTTCTACCTTTTGCAGTGGCATTTATAACAGCAGAAGCCATTAGCACTAGTAAATTATTACAATCACATACTCTGACATTCTATTATTAACTGTCTGCTTCTCAATTTAATTTTCTAACATGGTTTGCATTATTACCTATCCAACTCCATTCTCCATTTGGTGGAAGCTTGGGAACCCAGTTGAAGAGAGTGTGCTGCAAAGTAAGCATTCCAGACATTTACTTCTCCTATTCAACCTCATGTCATTAACTTTTTGCTCAGACTCAACTCTTTTAGCCAGCCCAGAAACTATTCATTCTTATCTGCACAAAGCTTTGGCTATTGTAAGTTAATACTGTTTGATGGGTACTATTGATTTGATTTATTGCAAGCTGTCTAGCAAGGCTTCCTAGGTTGTTTCTTCTATGGAGAAAGACCACAATGTCCACAGGCTTGTCTATCCCACCTCTCATAGGATGGAAAGAATCACCCCTAGCAGAGGTGCTGACCTCTTTCTATAGACGGTACCAAGAGAACTAGCTTGGATGAGACTCCTAACATCTAGGTGGCTAGTTAGGTGGGATGAATAGGGTACTCTGCATGCAAATATATATGACTTAATGCTTGTGCATGCAGCATTACAGAGTATCCCAGAAAACAGAAAACTCGGGAGCACAAAGTTCAAATAGTTGGCACATGTGCTATTCTTCTGACCATTAACGTGCCTTGGAAATCTATGTTTCATTTTCTTCCAAAGGAAGAAAATAAAATACAGGGGGTCTTGTGTCTTGGCAAGTTAGGAGCAACTACACTGAAGCCGATGGTACTGCAATAGATTTACAATAAAATGAGATCAGACTTTTTCTGTGAGCTACATGCACAACAAATAATTTTTTGTCTGTGCTGTTACAAAATGCTATCAAAGTGGTCTGTTCACCTAATATATTAATTAGTTCTTGAAATTTTGCAATTTATTTTTTAAAGGTCTTCCGTGGAACAAAGCTGAGATGTCCAGTCCCATTGGATGGACAATGGAGACAGGTTTCAGTGGAGAACAGGGTCAAGACAAATAAACACAGTGTCCATCTTCAGGAAAGTGGATTAGCAAGTTCCTTATTTCAATTTTTTTCTCTGTTTTTTTCTATTATATTTAAATCCATTTCATTTTTAAGTAGAACATATAGAAATCAAATCTTTACTTCTATTCCAGTACTTCATGCAGAGAAAAAATTCTAATAAAGCCAGTGTATGATTATAACAAGATACTCACAGAAAAGCCCATCTCACTCCACTTTTTGATGGTTAAGAAGGAAAAGCACCTTACTATGATTAACTGCTTAAAGATTCAGAGCCATAAATCTGCAAAAATTCTTCTTTTGCTAGCCATACAGACTTCTCTGAAGAACATGAAATGTTATTCCAGAGGTACTGCTCTAACCTTTCTCTCGTGTTTCAGGAGCTTTGGTGTCCTTGGATAGGCAAAGAGTTGATGGGATGTTCCATAGGTAGTACACATATGCCACAGTATCCTAGTCAAATGTCTTCTTCCAGAAACATTTAGATTTTCTTTGTTAATCATGTGGAGATAAAACAGAAGGAAGACTAGGTTCAAATAATGAGAAACAGCCCTATTTAAAGATACCTGGATTTAGGTCACAGCATCATAGAACATGTCATCTTTAACTGCGCTATTTTCAGCTGAGCTAACTTTATATTAATTAAACATAATTACAGAAGTAGAAAAAGCAGAAACATAGCAAAGATCCTTGCAACTGTTTTGTTAGTGCTGTGTGGACAAGTCTTCAGAATTATCATTCTAATACCTTTTAGTGCCAATATTTTTGTTTGTTCAGAAGATGCCTTGGACAGAACTATTAACAGAATGAAATGGCCATATTACCCAAAAAATTCATTTTCAGCAGCTGAGATTCCTTCTGGTTTATGCTACTTTGTTTTAGAAATGCACTAACACGTCATGGTAGCAAAAATCTGTTTTGATAAGGTTTTTTTAAATTAATTTTTCTGATCAATTTACTGCCTGTCAGTTCAGGTTTATGGGCAAAATCCTGATCCTTTGTGGCACCAATTTAAATCTTAGCTATGCAGATTGAAAACAGTTAAAAACACTATATGTCAACTCAATTGACCCCAATTATTTTCATCATTTTTATTATATAGTACAAACCAAGCCTAGGGCACAGTAGATGAGTTTAAAGGAAGGTCAATGTATGATTCAGGGTGTAATGAAGGTGAAAGTATAATAGCATTATTTTGTCATTACTTTATCATTTTATCCTTATTTTATCATGTGATTCAATATGAACTCCTTACACTGAACTGTTGTAAACAAGACCAAAATTTGTAAAAGTTACTCAGCATATTTTAGGGTGATCAGAAATCATACTCCTTTTCAGCAGTTGCCAGTGGCTGTTTGCTTAACGAAAGGCTAGTAACAATGTAGTTCTGGTGGATTTTGTGTTACTTGAAACTCTTAAACTGTTCTCCTCTAGGATGTGCTAAAACCTACTTAACATCTTCCCTATTTTTATGATTGGACTCTGAACCCTTAATCTAAAACGGAACTTTTGGATAGCACTGGAAGAGAACTGGCAAATGTTGGAAACTGATCTCCTCACCAAGATTTAAGAAACAAATACATAGGTTTGTTCCTTCTTCCGTGGCACAGTAATGACAGAAAGCTTTGGTCTCCTTATCCTTTATTCTCTGTTTTTATCTGAATAGGAAATCCAAATCTTTAACTAGCACAGGTAATAATAGTATCATACTGAACAGCATCTTTCATCTTGTGCTGCCTAATGAGCTGCCCTTCTGCTTGGGAAAGCACATGGCAAAAGCGGAAGGGATCTTGGGTTTATGTAAAAATCATTCCTGTTGAAATCAGTGGATAGCCCATTCAACATCTAAGAATTCATCATGGCCTTGAGACAAAGATCTTAACCAGGACCAGTGTAGCATATATTATGTAAAAGAAAACACTCTTGCCTGAGATCTCAGATTAGACATCTGCTTCCTTAGGGAAGATGCTGCAGCAACTTCAATAATCAGGAATGCATAAAATTGGTTTTATGCTCTGACAGAAAGATGTATGAATTTGAGTGCCAAAGGAGATTGGCTGTTCATCCAATCTAACCTTCTGGGTGGCACAAGGCAGAGAACCCATCATTAATATCTTCTGTGGCCAAATGCCTATTTGTGTTACTATTTTGGCTTCCAGTTGAAGGGAGCATCTTAGGGTTCTTAATGTACATTTGCTGCCAGTTATTCTCCATGTCAAAAACACAGGTTTCCTCTCTGCTCCAAATTTGTCCAGGGTGTTCTCCTTTACCAAGGTTCTATCAGCCTCCCAATTACTCTTGATAGCAAAGTTAACCATAATTTGAGCTTTGTGAGTCTCACTACAAGGCAGATTTCTGTAGCTTTTTTATCTCTTTCAATCACAGTGGTTATCTTTTTTTTAAGTGTCTGCCTCAGAACTCCATTTTATACTCACAATCTTATGAGCATCAGATACCCAACAAGGAGTTAATATGCCCTGCTCTTTCTGCCTGTTAGTTCCTTGCTTCAGAGACTATGTTCATTCTCTAAGCCAGAAGAGTGCATGCTGAGCTCATATTCAATGAATTATCTGTCATGATTCCCTGGATCCTTCTTGGCATTTCAGCATTCCAGGACAGTGTCACAACATGATACAAGTCACGGAATACATGTTCTATCATCCTTTGTCTGGCTAAAGTTACAAATCCTTGCCAAGTGTGTCACCTTAGTGAGTATTTAGGATAATCCATGTAACTAGTGCCACTATTACCTACTATTTTGGGGAAAATAACGGGTTTTCTATATTACTGGTAATGAATGGTGTTTGATCTGCCGGCCTTCCTGGACACACTGTCTTCTGATGCACTGAATATACAATGACTTGCAATGATTTACCTGTCTTCAACTTGTTAGAGGGCTATGATAAATTTTGGGGTAATACTGCTTTTTTTTTTTTAGCAAAATATCTTGTGGGAGTATATTTAAAAATATTATGATCAACTGTACTGGGTCTGGCTGGGATGAACCTAATTTTCTTCATAGCAGCCTGAATGGTGCTGTGTTCTGGATTTGTGACTAAAACAGTGTTGATAACACACCAGTGTTTTGGCTATTGCTGAGCAGTGCCTGCACAACATCAAGGTGGTTTTTTCCCACCCCCAGTGAGTATCCTGGGGGTGCACAGGAAGCTGGGAGGGCACACAGCCGGGACAGCTGACCTGAACTGACCAGACATACTCCATACCGTATAATGTCCTGTTCAGCAATAAGAGCTCATGGAATGGAGGAGGAAAGTAAGATGTTCATGGTTATGGTGTTTGTCTTCCCAAGTAACCATTATGCATGCTGAGGCCCTGCTGCCCAGGAAGTGGCTAAACATCTGCCTGCTGATGGGAAGTAGTGGATGAATTCCTTATTTTGCTTTGCTTGCACATGTAACTTCGCTTCACCTATTAAACTGTCTTTATCTCGACCCATGAGTTTTCTCGTTTTTGCTCTTCCAAATCTCTCCCCCATCCCACTGGCAGAAGTAAGCAAGCAACTGGGTGGGTGCTTAGTGTCTGCTAGGGTCAACCCACCACATTAACCAATCTTGTGATTAAAACTAAAATCAACCTTGTCTGATAAACCAAGTGGCACCAGATAAATTGTAATCTGCCATTTACTATTTGTGTTCCCTTCATCCGCCCCATGATTTAGCAGTTAGCATATGAAAGGTAACACCCCTGCAGTTCCCCGAGTCCTATTTGCCTTTGAAAGACAGCTACATCAGCTCTCTTCCAGTTATCTGAAAATTGCCTAGTCTTCAGATGTTATTAAAAATGAACAGTTCAGGTTCAGAGAGCTCCTTACCCATTTCTTTTGATGCTCTTATGTGTTACGTTTTATAATTGTGTAAGATTTTCTCTTTGATATTGTCCCTATTTATAGTTAGAACGAAAGTATTTTACTGCGGTCTCAAGATGCAGATATCCCACTTCTCTTCAGTTTATTAACTGACTGTTTACTT